CGGCGAAAACTTTCTTCTTTTCCCTGTGCTTTTTCTATTTGCTTCCGTTCTGCAGCTCAACGACGTACAACAAGGAAAATCGGTTGCCAAGCACAAAAATAAATCAATTGAAACATTAAACCCAAACACTATGTTTATATATTACACAGCATTTCTGTGTGAGTGTTTGTGTGTATGGAAGCAAATCCGTGAAGAAAAAGTACCTACCAAAAAGGTACTTAACTCGATCATTTTTTTCCTCTTTAAACTTTTTCGCTTTATTCTTTTATCCTCGTTTTGGCCATACCTCTCTGCCTTTCTTCGCCAACCATTCGCCAGCATTTTATTTGGAAGGCGTTCAATTTGAGAGACTATTGTTTTCCTGGATACAGTGGAGTAGTCCATTTCCAAAACAAATGGAATTCTTGTCTAATGGAAATTAAAACGATTCGTTAAACTCGATGACGCGGCCAGTAAAAGAACTTTCCACTTAAGCAAATTTCGTTTTTCTCCTTATTTTTTTATTTTTCCAATTTCATTTTATACGAGTAAAATAGGTTCTTTTCTACAAGATTGACGAATTGCGTAAAACAAAATTTATTTCAATGATTACCCGATCTGGTTTTATCGAGTTTTCTATATTCTTTGAGCAACTGTTCTTTATGAAACTGAAATTTAATGCAACTATGCATGGATGGATTACATTAATTGTATTATTTATAAATCGTGATTAATTCTACTAAAAGTCTGAATACTCCCGAACATCTGTTGAAAAGTAATTGTAATCAATAAGTCAAAAACCATGCCGTATAATGTTGCAAGTCACGATAGCATAACGCCGTATAATTATGTTACGTTGAACATACGGTTCTTTATTGAAGTTACACCGGATATCGGTTTTGATTGGAAACTAATTTAAGTTTACATACAATGAAATAAATTCTACCCTACAGCAATTTTATTGTAATAATTTTGATTCGAAAAGGTGTTTGTGATTTCTTCACTGACTTTCTACTTTACCTACTTTAATTATAATGTATAGCAAAGTAAACGAACTTTTAATTTTTTCTATTATTATTATTAGTTAATATGACCACGCAAAACTCCACAATTTTTTTTTTTTTTGTAGCCAAATGAAAATATTTGCTCCTCAAGAAAACATTGTATCTTCACCATGAAATTATTTTTGTCATAGGGGTATATATATATCTCCAGTAGTTAGTGTGATCAAATAGTCTTACTCTATAGATGAATTTGATCAAAATGAACACAAAACATTTAAAAGTAAATATAAACAAATTATGTGTACATTAATTAAAAAAAAAAAATCAGTTTTAATAGANATAGATGAATTTTATCGAAATGAACACAAAACATTTTAAAGTAAATATAAACAAATTATGTGTAGATTAATTTAAAAAAAAAAATCAGTTTTAATAGAAAAAATAAATTTTATTTTATTTCATCCAATTTAAATGAACCATATTTATTTAAAATTTCGCACTAGCGCGGATAGCAATTATACTAATTGTTAATATATTAACTTACGTCATAAAATGTTCTAGTTATGAAGTAGATGGATGAAGCAAATTCATATTTTTAACACGTTAAAATAAATCTTGACTATCTGTCATAATCATATTTTTCACTGCAGTACAAAAATCATTCAATTACACAATACTAGATTTTCCACTTTTCAATAAGAAGTAGTGTAATTAATTAGATAGTTGCTTCGCGTTGTTACATTACAGCAATCACACAGCACAAAATATAATATAAACTAGTTTAATCCATTATTTCAAACCAAACAGAACTTAAAATTATATATGAAATGAAAATAATAAAATTAATAATTGCTAANATATGAAATGAAATGAATAAAATTAATAATTGCTAAATGTTTTATCATAAAAGTTTAACATTAAAAGTCATTTAACATAACATATATTTCAATTATTAAAAAAAAAAGTTTTTTATTTATTATCTTACGAATAGAGTTATTAATTTATCTCGTTTACTATAGTACATTATTTAATTCAAAATATCAAAAGTAGTATTTTTCTTAAGAAGAGCTTTGATTCTTTTTAGTTAAAATATTTTTCATTAAAATCCAATTTTCAAATAATTTATTTAAATTTATTAGTATATCAAATTTTTAAGAGCATTTGGTAGTCGTGTTAAATCTTAAATGAGCCTCTACTTTCTATTCACTTGGCAGATTGTAGTTCGGTTGTTTTGCATGAAATATTCATCATAATAGATCATAATTATTTTACTAATATCATATCATAACACTAACATAAATTTATAATTGAAAATTAAACGCAATTTTTTTATTATGTTGAAATTAAAGTTAGCTTTGTTATTAAGGCTATAATGATCATTGAATACATTGTATACATTAGGATGTTCCTTATTTTGCAAGTTTGAATATTTGATGTCAAGTAAACGAAATTTTATTCTATACAGCATATAGAAAATATTGGTGAATTTTGAGCATCCTAGGTTAATGCCTTCACGTGCCTCAAAGGCGTTGAAAATTGACAAAAAGATGTAGAAATTTAGTTTTTGTACATATATTTTTAATTATTATAAACAAAAAAAAATCCACAGTATTAATAATGCAGTAAACAACAATGTAAAGAAAAAAAGTCTTAACGAATTTTTTGTAACATTGATTGTTCAACGTTTAACTAATAAAAACTGATTAATACTATTTTTCGTGAAAACGTTGTATTTTTTTGTCTTTAACGTTTATCTTTAACATATTGCAAATACGAAAATATTGTATCTACAAAAATATTTTAAAAAAATTATGCATAAAAAAACCCAGCACATTGGGGTTGCGGCATAGTGGGGACAAGGCATAGATGGGTCTAGTATAGATGATATCTGACAGTGATTAAAATCACTATCATAAAAAACGCTTTGATACAAATCTGTAGATAGTGTTTAGTTTTAAAAAAATTGGTTGATTATTCCAAAAGCAACATGATCTCCTATTTCCTTATTTATATCCTGACAACAAGGTTTATGATTTATAAGTGTAATAAATATACTATATAAATATATAAAGGGAAGTGGTTTTTTTAATAAAAAAAATTATGTCCAATAAATGATGTTTAGAAATAGTATTTATTGATTGATCAATATATTTTTTAAAAAGTTATAACATTATAAAATTTAAAACATGAAATTAATTCTTTTTAAACTTTGATGTTAGTTTTCACCATGAAAACAAACTAAAGTCTGAAAATTTTCTTTTTTATATTAAAGTATATTACATAAGCAGTCTNTAGTTTTCACCATGAAAACGAACTAAAGTCTGAAAATTTTCTTTTTTATATTAAAGTATATTACATAAGCAGTCTATGTGTCAGGATTTTCGGAACACATTCTAAAGTTGAAAAAGTTTTAAAAAAAAATTTTACCATGATGTGTTTTTTTTTTAATTGTTTTGAAAAATATTTCTACAGAAGTTTTTTTAAATATTAATTTTCTTATGTTGTTATATGATATCAATCCATACAGACTAAATAAAATATACATAAATACTTGAAGGTAATGTTTTTTAAAATATTACTAAAAATTGTATCATTTACAAATCATGTACACCTAGTTAGATTAAAACTCTATTATATATCTTGTTATAATCTTATAAACTATTATATCTTATTATTATGTACTTGTTTAAAAAAATATTTTAATAGAAGTTGTAATTTTTTAGTTTTGATGCGAACCTGAAAAAGTATTAGTTTTACGATGATGTGTGTTTTTTTTTTATTGTGTCTGTTACCACTTTTTCTCAGCTCTCACTGAACCGATTTCTTTCAACGATTCGTCAAAAGATCAAAAATCGTATCTAGTCGAAGACATTACTCTCAAAAATTAGAAAAATTTCCCTCGTTTCCCGTAAATGGGGGAAATCTCCAAAAAAAATTACAAATTTAAAAATTGCTAATTTTTGACATTTTTTAAATTGTTTTTACATAAAACTACCATAACTTTTTTAATAATTATCATATTAATGTAATTTTTTTTTATAGATTCATGATGTCATTACTTATCATTTAGTATATTTTTTATAAATTTGACCCTTGTCATTTTGATTCCCCCCATGTGGATCTGCTCACATTTTTTTCACAAAAAATTAAGTCTTTCAACTTAACTTTTGAAAGTGTTCCAGAAACTCTGAAACTTATATATATATCTTAAAATAATGATTATGTAATATACTTTAATATGAAAAATTTTGGACTATATTTTGTGTTCACAATGAAAATGGTTACATACATGTAAATTGTTTTGCCACAAATCTGGGAGTTTTTTCGGATTGCTTCTCGCAAACGGCGTTGAACTTACAAGTAATACTCCTATTTGACTGTTTGATATACTCAAAACATTCAAAAAAATTTCATAGCATGTGCCAACCGATATTCCAACATCATCAGCGATTTCTCTGTTTGTATTTCGGCGATTGTTCATAACCATTTCTTTCACTTTTTCCACGTTTTCATCGGTTGTTGATGTCCGGGGTGTTCTATATCTTCAACGTCTTAACGCCCATCTTGGAAACACTTATACCACTAGTAAACCGTTGTTTTACTCATTGTAGACTTATCATAGGTCTTTGTTTAACATTTCACACATTTTCTTACATTTCATTTCATTTTTTACTCAAAATATGATCCGTTTTTTTAACAAACAAAAATCACCGAGCTCATAAAACACGTCTAACATTAGCAGCTACCATTGACAAAGTCAAAAATGAATCCAGTTGAAAATTTTATAGTAATTCAGGGGCATGTGTACCAACATTAAATAGAAAAAATAATTGAAAATCAAATTCTTCAAAATCATAGGTATATAAAGATTCCCATTATTTTTTGTACACACCTTGTATAAATCAATAAATTTATTTCTCTTTTAGGTAGTTGTCTACCAATCTTAGCAGTAATCAAATCGTAGTCTGGAGCTTTCTTAGGAAGAGAAAAAAAAATACAATTTTTAACTTCACCAGGAAAAAAGTAGATCTTTTACGTAAGATGTAATTTGTGGCTTTCCATAAGGAAACATCTTTCACTGAAAATGTAGAAGTGAACTTTTCAAAGGATCCTTACAAAATTCGGAAAGAATTTGTTTAATTTAAAGAGTTAAATTATTGTATGTGTGTTTGTCAGAAGGCAGTATAGTTCTTTGCCACACAGTTCTGGCTCTTCTTTTAATTGCAATCAGGTTACGGGCATACAAGGGAATCGGTGTAGAATTCATTGGGATTGTTTTTCTTTGAAGTAGTAGATTTCCAAACAGTAGTCTGTATTAATAATGTTAAACTATTAGTTGCGTTATCAACATCATCACTGTTTTTAAGTTTAATATTTAAAGTTAAATAAGTATCAATGATATTTTTGAATGTTTCCCAGTTCGTGTTTTTATTTGTTAAAGTTATTGGGTTGATGCGGATTGGTATTTAAAGTGTGAAAGACAGGAGAGTGATCAGTGGTCGAATATATTTTTAATTGATTTTTTAATGTTTCTTGGGTTGTTAGTGTAGTAACTCAAAATGAAGAATACAGGTTAGTTGGATGGGTAATAGTTACTAAATAGGTGTAGATGAGTAGTCGCCGTTGTTTCGTCAACTAGTATTATCCAATATAATATACGAGACTCTTTGTGATTGAGTTACTACTAAAGAAAATAAATTATCTCTAACAGGGTGTGGAATAGAGAGTTCATCAAGAATAGACCTGAACTTAACTTACGAATAGTCAGGATCCGGTAGAATACTTGTGTAAATGAATGCAATAAAAATATAGACTATAATTTTTTTAGCGTATAATAGTTGAAGCAAGCTCAGCAATAATTATTTTATAGACCTTTAAATAACTCACCTTAGATTTCATGCGTGATTTAAGATTTTATAATGTGAAAGTAATAGAAGTTGAATAAATTTGAACTTTGAATAAAGTCTAGTCTTCACTTCCAGTCCTTGATAGCCGAGGTGAATATGAAAGTGGATACTTGATCGATATGGTTGCGGACAGACTACTGGATATGATTTTTATGATATATTTTGTAGAAACATTTTAATTAGATTGATTTTGTGAGAAGTCTCGATTATCAAAGGACATCATCTGTAATTTTTTATTTATTATATAAATAATGTCATAGTACAATGTACAATACAATACAGTTATACATGGTAATAGTATTAGGTAGTCACGCGCTAAAATGACTTATCTACATAGTTTAAGGTACATTGTAGTGACAAAACATAAAGGTTACATTTTTTGAATAATTTATACATACAATACAGGTGACATATTATTCTTGACTTAACTTGACTTAAATAGATGCCTATAGAGTTCTTAGAATGATAATCCCAGTAAGTATTTTTTGCGTTTAGATCACCTCCTACAATAGCATTATGGACTAGTGAAGAGAAATAATCATAAAATTGTTCAACAGATATAGTGTTTCTTGAAGAGTAGTACACAGCAACAAAAGTAATAGGTATGTTATTTAAAACAATTTTTATAGAGGCAGATTGTAAATAGTTTGTTTGAAATGTAAAGTAGGTATTATATTTTATAAATGATTTAATAATGATTATAGCACCTCCTCGTGTTGAGTTGTTAGGATGGTTTTTGCGTGACACTTGACAACCAAGAAAAAAGATTTTTTGATTTATTAGTAAAGTGGGTTTAAGCCAAGTCAATATTGAGTTCATTTAGTGAATATAAAATTTCATTTTTGAGGCTGTTTAAGACGTTGGTATTCCATAATAGGATGAGAAATGATTTTGAAGTTTGTAGGTTATTAGACATTATTTTTTAATAATAGATTGTTAAATATTGTAGTCGGAATAGAGACGAGTAGATTAATAGGCAAGGGGCCTCTGTCTCTCTCTGTAGTAAGTTAATTATTTGACGAACAGCATAACCAATTTCTTCTATTTCTTCTTTAATTTCATTGACAAAAGTATCTAGGTGTAAGTTTTTTATTACAATTCTAAAAGCTTCTTTCTCGCGTAATTTGTATGTATGAAATTTTGCATTTTTTTTCTTTTAAAAAGGAATGGTTTTTCTGTAACAATCTCGTGTTAGTGTTTGAATTTTCAGGCTACTGAGAAGCTTTGTAAAAGAAATTCTCCGAATCAATTATATTTACCAGTTTATTGCTCATCACGCTGATATCCCCAACCCCACGTTCAAATATTGGCGGTGATTTAGGAATATTTTGGGCTTGAGTGTCCATTAAATTTATATTGTTGTTATTATTACTAGTATCATTATTATTATTATTGATACCAATATTATTTGTTTGAGTGTTATTTTCTAAAGAAATGTAATTAAATCTATTTACCGAAATAAATATCAGTTTTTTTAATTGGTGTTCAGATGAAGGTGAATTGGGAGAAAATACTCTATGTAATTTTACCCAATTACTTAGGGTTTGGAATCCGTCTTCTTTGATCATGATTTATAAAGTTGGTGAAGTAACATCATCTGAATTTGATTGCGCGGAGGTTGTGTTGACAATTTTATTATTTTTCATTATTATCGGAGAAACCGATTTGTTAGTTTTATTTGTATTATTCCGATTGCTACTGTTGTTCGTTGAGTTATCATCTAAGATTAGATAACGTGTACTGATATCGGTCGGTAACGAGCCGGCAGATAAGGATGGCTCGCGATAAGCTAGCAAAATTATTTGTTGTACTTATTAGGAAAACCGAAAATCAAAATAAATACGTTAAAGAAACACTATAACGTAAAATTGAATACACGTACTGCGCGTGAAATTTAAAACTACATAGGAGAGTGAGAATTTAATTTCGAAAAAACGCATATAAAGTTGGAAAATTTGAAGTATTACATTGACCGGCAAGAACGGTGTATGAATATCACGGTCGGCGCGAGATTGTTACTTAATATTCAAAATTAATAATAATAACAATATATGGCCTGTTGTAGAAAATTATTAGTGCTATAAGTATTATGAAAATCAAATTATTTATACACTTTTATTTTAAATCTAAATCTTTAAGCAATTTTAAAACTCAAAAGGTTGATATAAAAAAAAGATAATGTAATTTTACACTCTTGGTTATAAGATTTCCAATGTACATTAAAATACATAAAATATTTCTTATTTGTTTTTATGTTTTCTAATCTATTTTTACTTTTTCAATTTAATATCTATTTAATGAATCATAGTTATAATAATTTTACTTACTTAAAGCTTACATTGCAAATTCAATTCCTAATTTTAATTTATTACATTACATATATTACTTACATTTTTATAATAAATTGAATTTAAAATATATATAAATTATAAAATTATATAAGTACAATCAGTTTTATTTTAAATAAACTTATTATACTGGCACGATAGCTTAGAACTCAAAATAAGATAAAAATGTTTTTAGTGGCAAACGTGTTAATTTTATTTTTTCTTTGCAGCACCAAGTCAAATGATCCAGATGAAGTAATTTTTTTAGAATTTATTGATTTTAGTAAAGCAAAATTACTCATGTATTTTTGATACAAAAATTAGAGATCTTAATCAAATCGTTAAATAAAGATAACTGTTATAATTAATACTTACAGAAAAATAAAATTTTATTTAACTTGCAGATCATAGCTATTCCAACAAAAATGGTTATTATGGGAAATAATCGATTTGGATATGAAGTTAAATTTTTAAATCTCCCATTTAATTACAAACCAGTAGATAAAAATTGGTGTATAGAAAAATGTATTAGTTTGGGGTTTACTTATAAGGAACCAAATATAAATCAGAATTTAACAGCAAATATGATTCCAATTGATGTTTATTTTCATGACCAAGGACTTTTCGATGTTTTGTCAGAATTAATTTGTAAGGACAGCAAATTTAACTTAGACATATTTAGAAATACTTCTAAAGTGAGCAATAATGTTTTTATCATGTTGATATGACGTTTATAACAATAAAAACTTTATTTTTTTTATGAAATTAGAATCTTATTAAAAATAAAGACATAAAGAAGTTTATTAATAATGACAGATGGTTTAAAAATTATTTAAAGGCTCATATTGAACAAAAAAATCCAAGTATGTTTCTGGTTTACATTTCATTTTTTAATACTTTCTAATCATTACTGTAATACTTAGAATTTACATAAATATATTAAATAGCCGCTGATACATTAAAATAAAAATATCGTTTATAACTTATTGTTTTAGCCATATATATATATATAAGACAGGCCATATAATTTTCAAAAATAATTGTAATACAATTTACGTTATTGTTTTACAGGCGCGAAATCTAAATTATCAAAATAAGTGCTAGGCCTGAGGTATAACTATGCTGCTAAGAAGAACCTTAGCAGAATTAAATTCAGGATTTTCCTTCAAAGGACAGTCATGAATAAAGAAATCAGTTATTTTTATTGAGACAAAAGAATTTACAATAAGTTTTGATTTTATAATTTTTATTTTACGATCAAATATTTGTGTGTCGCAGCACGTTAAAGTTAAATTATTTGATTTAATTTATTAATGATATTTTATTGTTATGATTAACAGAATTCTTCATTTTTCACATAATCAAGCTTTTATTGACCAGACTATTATTCAATTTACGAAAACCTTAACTAAAATGGTTAATGTCTATTAATTATCGCAATTCATCACAAGTTTACTATAGTAAATTGTAGGTTATCTTAGGAAGTGTTACAGAAAGTTATGTTAGGTAAACGAAATTATAATTTTCGATGTCTCTAGTTAAATACAAAACTTCATTTAATCATTCAATAGTTTCTAATTATGTAATATTGTGTTTTAAATCAATACACGGTACCGTATAATTTGCCACAGAACAAAATTAAACCCAACTAGTGTATGGAATTGCCAAATTTTAAAGTTTGATATCCCAGAAGCCAAGCAAAAGTTATTTAACTATTATTGTATAGTTTTTTGAATCAAATAAAATTTTCTTTACATAATTTTCAATAGTTTCCGAAAAAATGATAGTCTCATTCTTAATGAATNTCAATAGTTTCTGAAAAAATGATAGTCTCATTCTTAATGAATCATTCTGTATCTATGTAATATTTGAGATGATACAAAAATTAAACTGTTATCATAATTTGTATTCATTGAATAGCATATGATAAAAATGTAAGGTGTATGTATCTCAACAATATTGCTCAAGTTTATAGACACCATGTATTTATAAAACAGAGCGTTCGTAACTGACCATTTCGCGTATATAGTGTGATCAAATTATGCCACGTAGTTTACAAATATTTCCTAAAACTAAGTGTTTTTTTAATCTTCGCACATTGAAATATTTGTTTAGAATAAAAAAACAAACACAATAGATTTTATAAGTTTTTTTTTTTTTTTAAATTGACTTTATTTGAAAAATTACAATCTATAAAGTATGCACAATAAGTAATATTTATAATTTATAGACAGTTGACAATGTATTTGCACATGAAGAGGAAGTCACACATTTGAGACACCTCTTAATATTATTAAGTTATTATTCTTAGGTTTTTAAGTCGCGTCACCAATTCCTTTTGAGGCGTCTTGAAGGGTTCCCAGGAAGTGTTAAAGAAGCTAAATCGTGTATTAGTTGGTTGGGAATATCTTGTAACTTGGCGTGGAAGCGTTTATGACGTTTGAGACGAACCAGGGTGCACCAGTGATTATCCGCTGGCAGATGTTTTGGAATGCTTGAATGGTTCTCTTATTTGAATCCTTAGCCCAGATTATAATACCATATGTCCATATTGGTTGAAGAAGATTTTTGTACAAAATTATTTTGATGGGTATGGTTAGGTTAGAACGGAGGAGTGGCTTTAACAGATGGAGTCTAGAATTTAGTTTTTTGTGCTTATCTTTAAGATGACAAGACTAAGTTATGCGCCTGTCGAATGTAAGACCGAGGTATTTAACTTTATTCGAGTGAGGAATGATGATATTGTTAATTGATACGGCTAGGCAGTTGTGAGGTCTGAGTAAAAAAGTAACAAAGGAAGACTTTGATTCATTAATTTTTATTATCCAGTCGGTGAACCATTGTAAAAGAGTATTAAGGTGAGTTTGAAGTTGTTGAGACGCAATTTTGTGGTCGGGAGAAGCTGATAATAGGGCGGTATCATCAGCATAAGTCCCGACTATAGTGTTTTCAAATGTAGGCAGGTCTGACGTATAAATAGTATGTAAGAATGGAGCGATATCATTGCCTTGAGGGACACCGGCAGAGATAGGGTATTGATTTGAATGTTGCAGGTTGTGACTAACATTAAATGATCGGTTTTCAAGATAGAATTTTAGTATTAAGTACAGTGGAGCTGAAAAAGTATTTTTAAGTTTGTAAAGGAGGCCGTCATGCCAGACGGTATCAAATGCTTTCGCAACATCCAAAAAGACTCCGGCGCAGCATTTTTTAGTTTCGAGTGCAGATTAGATGGTGTCAGCAACCCGGTGGAATTGGTGAGTTTTGACATGGTGTGAGCGGAAGTCAAACTAGAAGTTAGGGATAATATTATTTGATTGTGCTATACTGGTAATACGCTTAAGAATGATTTTTTCTAGAATTTTTCCCAATACCGGCAGTAGGCTAATGGGCCTATACGAAGAGGGGTTTTCAGGCGGCTTGTCAGGTTTGAGCACATGACAATGACTGATGATTCCCAGGTAGTTGGAAAGTATGATAAACGAAGTGCTGCGTTATAAATATGAGTTAGATGGACGATCACTTTCGTAGGGAGATTTTTAACTACTTTGTTAGAGATAAGGACTTGTTGTTTCCCATTTTTTTTCTCTCTCTCTCTCTCTATGGTTTCAATCCGTAGATTTGTTTGCAGCCATCTTCCAGTCTTCCCTCTTATCCGCCTTCCTTTTCATTTCCACATATGAGTCACATCCTTGGTTCTTTATTATCTGTTGAATGAATTCCAATCTTGGTCTACCCCTACGGTTCTTTCCTTCTACTGTTCCTTTTATTATCAATTTCAACAATCCTTCGTGTCTCATTATATGACCTATCCATTCGTTGCGTCTTCTGACTATGTTATTCCATAGTAACTTTCCATCTGATATTCTTTCCAGTACTTCTACATTGGTTACTCTGTCTATCCAACTTATCATTAGTATCTTTTTATAACACCACATTTCAAACGCCTCAAGTCTTCTTTTTTCTTCCATTGCTATTGTCCAGGTTTCACACCCGTACAGAGCAATGCTCCATACATAGATCTTTAATAGGTTTTTTCTTATTTTTAACTCATGCTCCTTGATGTAAATATAGTTTTCTTTTTGTTAAAGGCTATTTTAGCTTGATAGATACGTTTTATAATTTCACTTCTGTTTCTTCCATTCTTGCTGATTGCGCTTCCCAAGTATGTAAATTCATCTACTTGTTCTATTGCTTGGTTTCGTATTTTTATCTGTATTCTTGTATTATTTTCCCTATCACATACAATTACTTTTGTTTTCTTCAAATTTATTCTCATTTTCGAATGTTTTATCCATAGCTTTAAATAGTTGAGCCAGATCTTTCTTGCATTCAGCAATTAAAGCTATGTCATCGGCAAAACGTAACATACTTATTTTTTGTCCGTTACTCTTTATCCCTAGATTGGTATTTTCCTTTATCATATCTATTGCTTCTTGAATATATGCGTTGAATATAATTGGGGATAATGTACAACCTTGTCTAACTCCTCTGTTTATTTTTACTTCTTCCTCTTCATCTTGGATTCTTATAACTGCGGATTCATCCTTGTATAGGTTATACAGAAGTTTCCTATCTGTGTATTTTAACCCCAATCTTTTCATCATGTTAAACATTATCTTCCAATTTACGTTATCAAATGCTTTTTCGATATCCACAAAAACTATAAATGTTTGTTTGTCTTTCCTAATCCTTTTTTGAATGATTATCCTTAACGCCAATATTGCTTCTCTCGTTCCCATATTCCTTCTAAACCCGCATTGGTCTTATGTCAATGATTGTTCTATTTTACCTTCAATACGTTTGAATATAATCTTTGTTAGTATTTTAGAGACATGGGATAGCAAACTAATAGTAAGGTATTCTTCACATTGCTTTGCTGCTGTTTTCTTTGGGATGGGAATAATTAGGCTCTTTACGTAATCTTCAAGCAATTCACCGGTTTCGTATATGACTTTGATAATTTGAAATAATTCCCTTTTAACTTTTTCTCCCGCCTCCTTCCAAAGCTCCGCTTGTATTCCATCGATTCCTGCTTCTTTTTTATTTTTCATATTCTATAAAGCTTTGTCGAACTCTTCTCTCATAATTGGGTCTATTTCGTCATCTTCTTCAGATTTATCTTCTTCGTTTGATTCGTTGGTTTCATTTTCCTTAAGTATTTCCCCCTTGTACAGGATTTCTAGATATTCTTTCCATCTTTTCGCTATATCATTTTGTTCATATAGCATTCTTCCGTTATTATCTTCTATTCCCCCTGTTCGGGGATCAAAAAACATTTTCACCATTCTATATGCTTCATCACTACTTCCTGTCTTTATGAGGGTTTCTATTTCATTACACTTTTCTTCCATATATTTTTCTTTTCCTTCCCTCGATTTCCTAATGNTATATTTTTCTTTTGCTTCCCTCGATTTCCTAATGATTAGATTCCTCAGTTCTCTGTATTTTTCCTGTCTATCTATACTGTTCAAACTCTTGTATTTGCTTCTTTCCTCTACCATGTTGACTATTTCCGTCGTAATCCATTCCTTTCTTGCTGCATTGTTGCTATTTCCTAGAGTTTTCGTTGTAGCCATTGTAATTGTATCTTTCAAGTTCTGCCATCTTTCTTTAATATTTTGGGATTCTTCAATAATTAAATCATTAGTGTCTTCACTATATTTTTTGCTTATTTTCTCATCTCTCAGATTTTTAATTTTCCATTGCACTATTTTCTTCTTTTTATCCATTATTCTTTTAAATTTAAGTTCGCATTTCATCATTACTAGATTGTGGTCGCTATCTATATCCGCTCCTGGGTAACTTCTACTTTCCTTTACTTGATTTTTAAATCTGTTCTTAACCATGATGTAATCTATTTGGTATCTATTTATGTATCCTGGCATGTGTATCTTCTTCTTCGATGGTGATCGAAGCAAGTGTTTGTGATTATTAAGTTATGTTTTGCACAAAATTCTAATAAGCGTTCTCCTCTTACATTTCGCGTTCCCAACCTAAAGGCACCTGTTACATTATTTAATTTTTCTCTTCCCCTTAAACATTTTCGATTATTTTATCTCCATTTTCGTATTTTTCTTTTACCTCTTCATCGTTACTATTTGATGTCGGCATATAGACTTGAACTACTATTGTATCTTTTGGTTTCGTCTGGAACTTGACTAGAATTATTCTATTGTCATATTGTATATAGCCTTTAACTATTTTTCCTAGGGTTTTATTCATTATAATCCCTACTCCTCCTGTGCCAGGTTTCTTCTCTGATACTCTTGTATATATTATTCTATGGTCTCCGCTCCAAAAGTCTCCTGACTTTGGCCATCTCATTTCTGATATTCCAAGAATATCGACTTTCATTTTGTCCATTTCTATTTTCAGATTCTCCAATTTCCCACATTGTTATAAAGTCCTTACATTCCAAGTTGCTATTCGTTTATATTGCTTCACATCCTTAACACTTCTTACCTCTCTTGTAGTCCCCACCCGGAGATCCGAACGGGGGTCTATTTTACCTCCGGAATTTTTTACTTGAGAAGAAGACATGTTGATTGCTGTTACTTGGGATATTAATACGGTGGTTTCCCGTTGCCTTCTGTATCGCAGTGCAGCCATCAGTTATACAGTTTCCCGTATCTGTTGGCTGCTGCCTGGCGTGTAGCTGATGAACCTACACCCAATATTGTAGTAGTTGCTGCTCTACTACAAGTCCCTTTTACAACAGGCAGGAACAACCGATGGTCTATTCTAATCCCGACCAACAGGGGTAAAATACCCAAGTACAGGAAATGTTTCACAAAGACCGCCTACGCATGTATACATTTTTTTTTCAACTCGATTCTTGAATATGATTCTGAAAATCTTACAATTTTTGACCATTAGCAAATTTAAGATTTAACAATGTTTTACAATATTACAAAAAATGTTGTCCATTAATTGTTCTTTTATTTGACGATGGCCATCAAAGTAAATCAAAACGCATCTTTTCAAAAAAAAAAAAAAAAAATTGGAAATCTTTTTTTTAATTTGAAGTTTAAAATTTATAAAAGTTAATCTATAAAAATTCAATAAATTCGCATACAAGCATTTGATTATGATAGTGGTGTTAATTACTGCCCAATATCATCAAAGTTTGCCACCACACTTTGATGGTTATTTTTATATTAAACAATATTGCTAATTTACATTCTTTTTATAAGATATCTTATTTTTGAGATCTAAACATTTTTGAAAAATATTCCTATAAGTAGTCACATATTTTTATCACACAAGTTATGCACATAGTTAGAAAAAGAAAGAAGAATTTGAGTGATGTCAACAATCTTGTTGTTTTAGTGAGTTAGAGAAATTTGGACGACAATCTACCTAAAGCAAAATTTTTTTTTTACGTCAGTAATATCTGAAATGAACACATATCTGCTGCAAATATATCTGACAAAGAATCTGTTGATTTTATATTTTTTAATTTTAATAATTTTATTACTAATAATGATGTATCAAATGATAAATTACCTGGTTGTGATTATATTACAGAAATAGATAACCTGATTGATTCATTTTCAAGAATAAAATTTGAACTGGCTCAATGGGCTATAAATAATAAAGTTTCTAATACTTTATTATCTGACCTTTTAAAAATAGTTACATCTCATAAGTGTTTCTATAGATTTCCAGTAGATCATAAGACTTAATATTAAAAATATACTTGTAGTAAAACCTAGTAAATATTACCATTTATGTCTTTAAAAAGACATTGCTTCTATTTTTTTACCTGTACAACTACTGAAGAGAGATATTAAATTATTTTTAATTTAATTAATTGATGGTATAGAAGGTTCTCCCATTCATAAAGTACATCATTACAATTTTGGCTTACATTAGACCAGAATCATTTATTGTTTTTCCTATTCTTATTCCTATGTAAAAATCAAAAGCCCTTTGATTTTTATATTTGTTTCCTTAATAAAAGAATTATTAAATAAACGTATGATATTATTCCAAAATACAAGTATATCACTATTATAATATTATTTTAATACTATTTTGCTACCTGTGGTGTTTTCTATTAGATTGTCTAGTATTCATAGTAATAATATTGAATTTGGTTGTGTAATATTATATCTTAGAACTTTTTAATTAAATTAGATTTTTTAAGCAGAAAAAATAACAAAATTTATTTTTTAAAAACATTATTTTGTTCTTAGAATAATTTCAAGAACAACGTGTAATCCTTAAATAATGTTATCAATCTTTTTTTTCAACTAAAAATAAAAATGTTTACTTATATTAATATTACAGTGCTAAAATTGTAATTTAAAATACTGTGCGGAGTGAAAACATTTTTATTGAAAACTAAAATAAAAATAATTTGAGACCTACTCGTACAGATTAATAATATTTCCAGTATTAAGAATACCAAATAAATGATACATTATTTTTCAAGTTCAAATTTAAAAACTAGTTAGAACTCAATCTGTCAATCGAATAGAAAAAATACCGTCATTATTTCTATATCATATTATTAATACAAATACCACAATCCGTATTTATAGGGGGAATTAAATAATTATTGTTATAGAAACAGCCATTTGTAAATTTTATAGATTAATTAAAAACGTTGCAGAAGATTTAAAATTTTAGTAGGAAACTTGTGAAATATTCAAAAATAAAAATAGGATATAGTATTTATAGTAAACCATTCTGATTAATATTCAATGGTAGAGACAGTTTTAAATTATAATATATTTTTAACAAGTATTTTATTTACAGGATTTATAAAGCCACTTTGGGAATTGTATATTTTTGCTGCAGCTTATTATTTAGATGTGTGTATTTATGTTTTCAAAGACTCTCAAAACATATGGGTATACTTCCGAAAAGGTTGGCCCAAATATAAAAAAGTAGATATAAAAAACGAAAAATGCATTTATTTATACATGTATGAACGAATTAATTATATTAATGTTGTAACTAATGTGATTGGACCGTAATAGATAATTTTTACATGTATTTAATAATTTTATAAATATAAACAATCTATACAAAAAATATATCGGTAATAATCTTAATAATCAAAAATTTTGCATTAGCTCATGTTTAACTTGTTTACCTACTAAAAATATATCCACCGTGTTTTCATTATTATCGAATTGTTGAAAACGGTTTTACTATAACTAATAAGAAGGATAAATAGTATCTCTATAAAATGTATTTCTATTAATTAATAGTACTAATTTTCTATTACTACAATATTTCTACCAATACATAAGTAGTTTATGATAAATTAAAATACATATAACAATTGAATCATTTTTAAGATTAGAAAAAATATTTTATGCAATTGTACGTCAAATAATAGACTTTCTTTGTGTTTATTTAGGACTTCTCAATATAACGTGTTAAATATTAATTTTTGTAGAAAATAAAATTTTTTTTTTTATTTATATACATTTTTTATATTATAGTTTCCTTAATATTTTTTAAATTCTTATATTCAAAAAATTTGAGCTAAAGTCGGCATGTATTAACGTTATCGAGTTTCTACAAGTTTTGTAGATACAACTTTTTTACTAATAAATAAAAGGGTTAGCACTCAGAGAAATTCGTAATTTTGTAAAAAAGTTGTACTATAATATATCACAAAACTAAATAAAAAAAACCGAGCACAGTAGGGTCGCTGCACAGTGAGGACATACCATAGATGGATCTAAAAAAATAATATCTGACAGTGATTAAAATCACTATAAAAAAAAAAACGCCTCTATGCAAATCTGTAGATAGTTTTTAATTTCAAAAAATTGGTGGATTATTTCAAAAGCGACATGATCTCATATATCCTTATTTATATCATGATTAAGCTTTATGATTTATAAGTGTATTATATGAATAAATATTTTTTATAACAATTAATTATAGTATGAAATTGATATATAATAATTTAGTATTGTAATATTTATGGAGAAATTATAATAAATTATAAAGTAGTTATTACTTTTACGGTAAACTTAAATAAAAGTTTAAGGTCTTGATACAATACTTAAAAAAAAAAAAAGAAATTGTTTGTTATTTTTTCATCCGAGACCAAAATATACTTTTATAAACCTACTTTTATGCCGATTTCATATATGCATAATTGCATATGACCTATATAACAAAAAAATCCTTTTAATTAATATAACAAATATTTATGTTTGATTATTAGGTTACGTATGAATAATCAATAAATATATTTTAATTCAAAATAAGTTGAAAAATTTCTACTTTCTATACGTATTTTTAAGTTTTGAACTACACTTGTATAAAGGGAAAAAGTCCGATTTTAAAAAAAAGTATGTCAAATGAAAGAAGCATTTAAATATTATTTCTCAAAAAAAATTGTATTGATCCATACATTTTTCAAAAAGTTATAGCATTAAAAATTAAAAAATATGAAAAAGAATTTGTTTACAAAAATTGTATTTTTTTATTAATGTCGTTTTCACCAAGTAAATAAAATATAGTCCAAAATTTTTTATATTAAAGTATATTACAGAAGCTTTAATTTAAGAGTTTCCGAAACGATAAAACTAATGTTTTTAACGCTTGGGGTACTAGTTTCAAACCACCCGTGCATGTGAGTATTTTTGCATTTTTTTCTTAATTATTTTCGAGTTAGAAAAAAAGTTCGATTGATTTTTATCTCATTAAAATTCAATAAATATATAGGAGGGAAAAAAGGACTTAATTTTTAAAAAATCGATAAATAAATGAAACTAAAAAAATACATTCTCAATGAAAAATATCAAAATTAATTTTCTTTACTCAATGTAATATTTTTTATTAATATTTAGTTTAATTATTTAATTTTGATTATTAATCACAATTCAAATTATGAAATAAAATTGAATTCTGTTTTCACAGTATTTATGGGACTTCTGTTTCAACAATTAACAAAATAGTTGACTACTTTTTTTTTTCCAGTTTTTAATTTGTGAAAAGCTAGTACATCAGTATTTTAGTATCAAATATAACATACAAAACATTGAACCTACAAAATTAGACTGAACGGTACTTTTGTAACATATTTCAATATTATTTTATTAATTTCGAATACTATTTTTACGTCTTATTTTCAGTTTATAGGATATGATATCTACTTTAGAGATTTCGAAATTTTNAGTTTATAGGATATGATATCTACTTTAGAGATTTCGAAATTTTATAATTTTTAAAGATTGGCTCAAAAATTATAGTGTGTATACAAAATGAAAAATTAATTTATTAATATAGTAATGAAAATTACTTTATATTGTTACTTATTCATATTAAACTATTAAACAATGATATATCTGCATAAATATAAATTGTTTATATAATGTAATTTTTAATTTTTAATAATTTTATAAACTTGGAATGAAATCGATAATTTATATAAATAAAAATTACATCATTCTTCTTCGTATTTTATTTATATCCTAAAAAAAATGCAAATATAATTAAATTTATGAAAGCATTTTACTTCTTTTTTGATATTTTTTCTATAATTAATTTAAAAAATTTGTAATAATTAATTTATTTGAAGTGTGTATAGATTGCAAATTCTATTTCTAATTATAATTTAGTACAATACAAAAAAGTTATTTATATTTTTTTTATAAATGTCATTATTAATAAATTCAAATTAAATTATATTTAAATAGTACAAATTATTAGTACACTCAGAAATTTTTATAAATTTATTTTATTATATTTTTATAATATTAGAGCATAAATTTTATTATAAGGTAAGAATGTTTTTGATGATAAAAGTGGCAATTTTATATATTGTATGCAGCATTAAGTCATTTATTTCAAGAGAGGTAAATTCATTTAAGGTTTATTGAATTGAACATAGAAAAGTCATTCATATAATTTTCATACAAAAATTAAAGATCTTAATTATTTATTGAAAAATAACCATAATAACTCTATAATTATTCAAATAACGTTTTTATTTAACTTTTAGCTTATTGAAATTCCATATAAATTTTATTATCCTCATGGTGATGTGTATTACTTTAGTACTACATATTTAGATCTCCCATATCATTATAAACCAGTGGATAACGAATGGTGCAGAGAAAAATGTACAAGTTTGGGATTTACTTATCAGAAATCAATTATGAATCAGAAGTTAACACCAAACAAGATTCCAGTTGAATTTTATTTTAATAAAAATGGACTTTTCGATGTTTTGTCAGATTTAATATGCAGGGACAGAAAGTTTAGTCTAGATATGTATAGAAATACTTCTATAGTGAGTAATAATATTTTTTTTATGTTGATATAACATTTATAATAATGAATACATTATATTTTTTATGAAATTAGAATCGTTTAAAAAATAAAGATATAAAGAAATTTGTTAGGAATAGCAGAAGATTTCAAAAAAACATAAAACCAGGTACTCAAATTAAAAATTCTAGTATGATTCAGATTTTATTTACTTAATTATTTTAAAATGCCGCCGGTGCATTTAAAATAGAAAACGTTAGGAAAATAGGATTTCTAAGGCTTAGGCCAAAAATAATTGTAATGCATCATTTTTTTTGAAAATGCAAGACCTAATTTTCTAAAATTTGCTCTCATTTTTTGAGGGTGGTCCTGAATTAGTTACATTCATTTAAACAAAAATTACTATTTGTTTATTTGTGTGATGAAGCTTTTTATATTTTACTATATGGTTTATGTGTCTGTCATTCATTTTTTTCAGCTCTCACTTGACCAATTTTATTGAACAATACGTCCTAAGAAGGTGATTTTAATCACGATAAACTTATAATTACCAAATATTGGAAAAAAAAAATTAATTCTCTTAATTTAGACAAATATCTCAAAAATATACTAGTCTAAAAAATGACCATCGCTGTAGTCTTCCCTTTTGAGAAAAAATGTCTTAATCATATTAAAATATTTTACTATATGATTTTTTTTGCGTCTGTCGTTAATTTTTTTCAGTTCTTACTTGACCAATTTTAATGACCAACACGTTAAATAAACATAATTTTAATCTTGTTGAACTTATAATCACCAAATATTGGAAAGAAACCTATAATTTTAGAAATTTAAACAAATATTTCAAAATTACGCTATTATAAAAAATGGCTACTTCAAAAAAACATTTTTAAATTAAATATCTCAAAATTAATAAGACTATACAATTCGTTTTCATACTGAATTACATTGTAAAATAAAAAGTTTTTTCATGATTATAGATCAATATACACTTAACTAAACCAAATTTTTATGCTAATTTCAAGTCTGAAATTAGATTTTTTCTATCACCTCTTTTTTGAGATTATTATTCATTAGAAATACATGAAAAATTTAATTAAAAAAAAATTTTTCATCGAGTTATTATTGATTTTTAATAGTTAAAAATAGTCCGCGCAAAAATTCATTTCAAAATGGCATTTTTAACTTATATTTTTGATCCTTTAAAGTTGATTTTTATAAAAATTTATAATTAAAAAATGGTGATCTTTTTAACACAATTTCAGCTCAACTTGAAAGTATAGACTTTATATCATTTGATAGAAAATTTTATGAGAAATAAAAAAATGGATTATTTAGATTGATATGTAATCAGGAACTTTTATTGTTACAATTAACAGTAAATTTATAAGGAAAACTCGTAATTTCGTTAAAATCACTATTTTTTCTGTAATAATTCATTTAAAGAAAATTCTTAGAAAAAATTTCTATGTAACTCTTGGTGTTTAAATACATGCTAAAATTCATAAATACATTCCTTTATTTCGTATAAACTATATCCTACAGTATTCTATAATATACTGATATTCAAAAATATACCGTACCTAGTTTCATTTATGATTTCGTCCATTATTGTGTTGTTGAATTTCATTTTGTCTTATATTTTTTTGGTTATTTTTATATTTTAACACTTGTTTTTAACTAATTATTAATAATATAAAAATTATATTTTTGATTTTATTGAAAATTTCTTGTAGAGTATTTATTCATAATTAACAACAAATTATCTTCTGAAACCTATTGTATCAGGCCTTTCAAATTTTATATACGTTTGTTACAAAAGTAACAACTACTTTATAATTATTTATAATTTCTTCGTAAAAATTACAATACTCAATTATTAAATATTAATTTCATAGTATATTTACTTTCTTTAATAGATATTTAATCATATATTTTACTTATAAATCATAGAACTACTAATTAGTAACAATGAAAGAAATAAGAGACCATGTTGCTTTTGGAATAATCCACCAATTTCTTAAAATTAAACACTATGTACAGATTTGCATCGAAGTGTTACTTATGATAGTGATTTTAATCACTGTCAGATATCATCTATACTTGTCCCAACTATGCCACGACTCAAAGAACCGCCCCGGAATATATATAAGTCTTAATAACTGTTTCAGATTGTAGCTAATTTCGGTATCATAAAAAAAAAAAAATTGAACATTATTTAATTATTGATGATCTGGAAAATATTAAAAATAAAATCGCATTATTATCCCGATGATAAGGTAGTATTCCAGTTAGTATAGAGTAATTTTTAACGTTCGACTTAATAAATAAATAAAGCAATTACATAAAAATTTGAGAAAAAATTATTTAATTATTTATTAAAATTTAATAAAATAATTTATTTATCTCTTTTATTTAAAATAGTATAAAATTTATTTTTTAGAGTAATGTTGGACTTTAACCCATAATCAACATTTTTTTATTAAATTTTATGCTAAAATCTATGTATAAAAATAAAACTATTTCAATACTCAATATTATTTAATAAAAATTTGATATATCCAATCAAAGAAAATTCAACTCTTAAAAATTTGCGTTATAAACTTATGTATATAATTTTCTTAAAGATTGAAATATAACATTAAAGTACGAAAAATATTTGTAATCTTTATAATATATTTTAAATTATCTCAATGATTTTGTAATAATTAAAAACATCTAAATATGGTCTAACATTTGATATTTATCAATCATTTGTTCAAAACTATAAAATTAAAAACTTGATGATAAAAATTTTTATTTGTGAAGGAAAGAAAATTATTTTAATAAATAATATTGTAGATTTTAAATATATATTTTATTTTCAGGTGTTGAAAATATCATATGGGAATTGGATATATTTGCTGCAGCTTATTATTTAGATGTGTGTATTTATTTATTTGAAGAATATAAAAACATTTGGATATACTTCCGAAAAGGGTGGCCTCAATATAAAAAAGTTGATATGAAAAATGAAAAATGCATTTATTTATACACATGTGAAAATTATATTGGTGTTGTTACTAATGTTACTGGACCATACTAGATAATTTTATTATGTACTAATAATTTCATAAATGAAAACATTCAATACTGAAAAATATTTAAGTTAATAAATGGATTTAAATTATGCAATAATAAATAAGTAAAACCCAGCGCAGTGGAGACAAGTATAGATGATATATGACAGTGATTAAATTCACTATCACAAAAAATGCTTTGATGAAAATTTGTTAATAGTGTTTTAATTAAAAAAAAAAAAAAATATTGAAATATTCCAAAAGCTATACGAACCCCTACTTTCCTTGTTTAAATCACAATTACAAGATACATAAATTATAAATGTAATACATAAATAAATAATTATTTAAGTAATTAATTTTAGTATGAAATTCACATTAAGAATTTTATTTTTAATTTTATATATGTGTCAATTTATTAACTATTAGGCTTCGCTTAGCTGAGGCTCACACCCCCCCCTCCATCCTGGGGCCCTACGAGACTCACGTATGAATCTTTAGTCCTTATATGTGGGCCACGGATTTCAGTGAAGTATACAGCTACGTCGGGCACGATCAGTGTTTTGCAGAAAAAGTATTTCATCAGAATCAGAGTAACAAAAATACATAAAATATTTAATTACTAAAATCAAGAAAATTAAAAAAAAAAAAACTTGTAAAATTTATTGACAATATACCACGGGCATATTGAGAAATAATTTCAATAGATTAAAAGATAAATATACCAATAAATTTTAATAAATATATCAATAATTTTGTATTATAAACTTATTTAAAAGAAATTCATAGAAAAAATCTCTGTACATATACGTACACCAAACATTTAATACAAATAACTAACATGATATTAGAAAAAAATTAGTTAATAATCAACCCAATCAATGCATAAATGACAACTATAATATGTATATAATACGAATTGAAGAGAATAATTAAATTGACTTACAAATTCATCATCTACAAAGTTAGAGTCAAAATATATATATATATATTTACTAAAATGAGCAATACCCTTATTCAAAACATGCGCGTGGATGAAAAAAAAAGCTAATAAAGGTCACAGAATGGTAAAAACTAAACGAAATAAATACATTTTTTATAATTGATATCATAGAAATGTCTTTGGGCGCATCTGATCAAATTTTCAAACCTTAAGTCGTAAAAAGCTGGCGCCAGTGAGCGTTTTCCTCGAAAGGAGTCGAAATCCCTTAAGGTAACATACATATTTAACTAGCTAATTAATATAAAATCATCCAAATTAAGAAAATTAGTACTCGAAAACAACTTTTGAAATAGCACTTCAGAAATTATTAACATTTAAAAATATTGTGTGGAGGAAGAGTAACGCGTAATGATTATAATAACATAACTCACACGACACTTCTAATTTATATTTAAAAATAGTAATAACTTTCGAAATAATATGTGTACAGTTTTTATCGAAATACTTGAAACCAAAAAACATAAAGTAAATGTTCTTAACATAATTATTATTTTAAGAGAAATTGAGTAGATAATAGTTGCTATTAAAAGAATCGCCCAATATTTACTTCAATTTATTATAAGCCATTTGTAGCTAGGACATTTTTTTGGGAAAGAGTAACCTCTTCCTTTTAATATACAAATTGGATTGACATTAAAAGCTGCACAAATTGTATCTGAAAATATGTATAAATAACTCTTCAATCATTCTTATAATTTGTTTTTGTGTAAAAGGGGCTACCTATTTTCGTCCTCGACATATCAGAGAACTTGTGTCTTGCACTTCTTCTGCACCTTATACCTAGGTGTTATCCTTGTTCCCTTGCTGTAACAACGTCCTTTCGACACCCACAGCTAATCCGAAGTATCAGCCGAGTACGGTAACTGCTGTATGATCACGTGTTTGTGAGTACCTAGGCAGCTGACTCAACATCACCTTCGTACACACTATACTATTCTACTACTCTTATCGTTTGAGTTTTGTTTAGGATTTCGCTTTGTATTACGACAGGGAAATTAAATGTATATTTACATATAAAAAAATAATTATAACAAAAAAAAAAATTTGTTTCCAAGTTTTTACTGATTTTGATTATTAATATGTTAAAAATAATGAAAATGACTTATTTAACCTATTTTTAATCCTTTAAGTTGATTTTTAAGAAAGTTTATGATAAAAAAAGTTGAATTTGTTATCATAACTTTTGGTTCAACTTGCAAGTTTAAAATTGACGTCTTTAAATAGAAAATTTTACGAGAATTAAAAAAATGTTATTGTTAAGATGCAGCCAGAAAATTTTATAATTACTATTATCAGTGAATTTATTAGAAAAGCTCGATATTTGTTTGCGTTTTTACCGTAAAAGTAGGTGAAGTGAGAGCTGAAAAATAAATGATAGTCAAAAAAAAAAAAATCCATGTATTAATAATTGTAATAATAATAATAAAAAATAAATTATAACCATAACGAATAAAAAATATCTTCTCGCATGGGAGACTACAGTAGTGAGGTCCTAAATATTTATTGAATATTAATGAGATAAAAATCAATCGAACTTTGAATTAATTAAAAATTAAGTACTTTTTGTTCTTCCTTTATACCTTATAGAGAACTTTTTTTAAAATGGCATCATACAACATACATATTTAACTAATTTATAGAATGTCCCAAAAAATTAAATTTATTATAATACAGTCAATATTGACATTTTTAGTTTTAATATTATATTGAAATTGGGGTACATCTAGTGTTACGGATGTAGCAACTTCGAGGACGCCTGGGTCCAATATAGTAGGCCAGCTACATTTGTATCTAACTAAGAGATAAGTATATCCAAAAAGTCTTATTTAGGAATAAATTATTTATGAATGGAAACAAAAAACCACCATATTATTATTTAAATTATACATTTTCATAGCAGAGAAAACTATAACAATGGTTATTAGTACCTAGCAGACCTTAAATGGTCTGAGGATGCTTAGAATCCCTGACTTAGCTCTGAAAATTGCAACTTGGAATGTGAGAAGTTTGTTTGACGAAAAGTTGATACGAAAAATGCATTTATCTATACTAGGATGAACATCATATTGGTGTAGTAACTTATCTTACTGGACCATACTAAACCGTTTTTTCGTGTGTCTAATAATTTAATAAATTGTTAACAATCAATATTAAAAAATATTTTGATTATAGCATGCAGTAAAAATCTATTACTATCATATGTGTAACTTGGATACCGACTAAAAATTTATCTACTGTGTTTACATTGTTATTAAATTGTTGAAAAGTGTTTTTAAATAATTCATCAAATACACTGCCACTGCTCACATAAACTTGGTATCCCACATTTATTGTCACCAATATTTTAATGATATGTAGCAAATTTAATAATGTGTATAATTTTGAACAAATTAGTCTTGTTTGAAAGCTCTTTTAATGTAAATTATTTATATTATATACGTAGTATCAGTCGACCTCAAACCTTACCGAACAGTTGAAATATTTAATTAAACCCGAGCTGAATGTTAATTTTAATGTTTTTCAATTAAAACGTTAACAAATGCAGTGTCATATTTGATTAGTAATTACAAAAAAATAATGTGCAGTATTCACGAATACTATAATTAATAAAATGAGGTATTCATATATTTGTTTTAATAATTAAAACAAATTATTATAGAATTATTCTATAATAATGCACATTTGTATAATAAAAATATTTTAAGCAAGTTTAAAATATTTGTAATTTATTATAAACGTATTTGCGTTATATTCAAATGACTAACAAAAAATTTTATTTATTATAAACGTGTATGTTGAGTTCAAATAAATTAAATGACTATATTAATGTTGTAAGACGAATATATAATAGTAAAATTATTAGGTAGATAAAGGTGCAATAGTTTGATTGTTTTGTCTGATTGATTAAACAATCTAATGAATAGTTCCAATTTCAAGTGATGAATAAAAATTTTAGCTTCGATGCGAAGCGGAGAAGGTATTAATTTTACTATGATGTGTTTTTTTTTTTTTTTATGTCTGTTGCCACTTTTTCTCAGCTCTCACTGGACCGATTTCTTTCAAAAATACGTCAAAAGATCACAAATCGTATCTAGTTGAAGACATTACCCTTAAAAATTGAAAAAAATTCCCTCGTTCCCCGCAAATGGGGGAAATATCCAAAAAAATTACAAATTTAAAAATCGCTAATTTTCGAAATTTTTTCACTTTTTTTTCTTAAAACTTCCATAACTTTTTGAAAAATCAACAAATCAACATAATTTTTTTTTATACTAAAACCTTAGATATTTACCTTTCATTTGATATCATTTTTTTGAAAATCTATCACTTAACCTGCTCATTGGGGGGGATTTAAAATGGCAACTTTTTTACAAAAATTAATTTTTTCAACTTAATTTTTGAAAATGTTCCGGAAAGACTGCGTCCTTTAAACATATATCAAATTAAAGCTTATTTTATGTACTACAAAATGAAAAAAAAAAATTTGTCCCGACACTTTTTTTTCTACATTTAAACGGCTGCCGTAGTTAAAAAAACACTATTTTTGTGTTAAAATTTTCGATTTTCGATTTTAAATTTTCAACTTAAAAATGCTATAACTTTTTGAAAAATGTATATATCAGCACAAATTTTTTTTTTCTAAATACATTATAAGTACATCTTTCATTTGACATACTTTTTATTAAAATTGGACAATTTCCCCTTATATAGGGGGCGTTCAAAACTTAAAATATTGTAAAAAACATAGATCTTTTTCAACTGAACTTTTGAAAATGTTCCGGAAATACTGCGTCCTTTAAACATATATCAAATCAAAGGTTATGTTATATACTATCAAATGAAAAAAAAAAATTTGTCCCGACATCTTATCTTCTATGTGCAAATGGCTGTCGAAAATTTAAAAAAAAATGTAATGTTTGCGATAAAAATTACATTTTATCGGGATGTTTTTTGTACTTAAAACTGCCATAACTTTTTCAAAAATGAACAAATAAAAATAATATTTTTTTGTATTGAAACCTTAGATATTTCCCTTTCATTTGATATAATTTTTTTTGAAAATCTAACACTTATTCTGCTCACTGGGAGGATTTAAAATAGTAACTTTTTTACAAAAAATAACTTTTTCAACTTAATTTTTGAAAATGTTCCGGAAATACTGCGTCCTTTAAACATATATAAAATTAAAGCTTATTTTATGTACTACAAAATGAAAAAAAAAAATTTGTCCCGACGATCTATCTTCTATACGCAAATGGCTACCATATTGAAAAATATGCTATTTTTGTATGAAAATTATGGGTTTTGTATTTTATTTTAATAGAAGTTGATGTTGCTTTTGCAATTATCCATCAATTTTTTAAAATTAAACACTATAA